ATGTGTCTAAAAGTCAGATTTGAACTACACAGAACCTTTCCTGAGCTGGCTGAAGAGTGTCAGTGGCATGACACAAGGGCCTATATCATTTTATATTCAAATTGTAGGAAAGCTTGCCCCTTGCAAGAAATGTGTCAGATGATGTCCACTGCAAAGACTCTGCAAGAGGTGCTGGTTTCAGTGACTTTCAAGTAAGACTGTGAGAAGTGTCGATACAGTGACCAGACCTTTTGGCCAATGGTGAAGTTTGAGTGTAGAGTATCAGCTGTGAGCTGCTTTCACTTAAATGTTGTAGCTAGAGAATATAGCAGTCCACATCCTCTGTCAGTCAGACAGATATTACTCATTATTACCATAATAGATTTCTATGATAAAATGAGGTCACTTACACAATCTTAATCTTTACATTCTAGATCTTGAAAAATGGCAGAGAGGATTCATATTTCATTGGTTTACAACTGAGTGTTGACAAACGGACAAGGTAGGCCAACTAGAACTATCAAGCTTGCATTGTGCTTTAAAATAAAGAAATCTACTGAGAGTACAAAAATAATGAAGCACTTGAATGAGCACTTGTGGCCTGTCAAAGGAAGTGAGAATGTTTTTCCACTGAATTCTGTGGGATTTTCATTCTTAGTGTTTTTTATTATGAAGTTTGTAAAAATGTCCTCTGTAGTAAATATACCATAATGTGCCACTATGTTTAATCCACCTTTTTTAAAATCCAATTTCTGTTATTAGCCACTCTTGCCCTATTACTATTCTGTATTTGATTATAGCAGGAAAAAATCTTGATTTGAATTTTGCTCTCAGCTGTTGTGTGCCTTTTCCATATTCAGTAAAACATAGCTGACATAAAGAACTTTTACAAAATATTTCCTGTTGATGCTGGTGAAATTTTTTCTTTGTAGAACAGCTCATTTTCAAGTAAATGGTATTTCTCCTTGACACCACTGGAAGCTAAAGTAGATCCATCAACCCTAAAACTTGACTTATTCTTTAACAATATAAAACATTAAGTTTGTTTTTGTAAGTTTACATCAGGTCTGTTAGATTTGGAAAGTTCTGCTTTACTCTTTATTCTAAGATTTTGTAGTCTGTGGGACCAAACAAGTTAACTCAATAGGACATGGATTTTCAAAGGACATACTTAGTTTTGAGTCTTAATTTAAATGATTGTGTTCTCAAGTGGTTTAATTCCATGTTAATTTACCTCCAGATTATCCAGGAGAAATACTGCATGTTTCTTAAATAGAATTAATCCAAAGCTAGCAGAAAAATTACACTGCAGATGGTGTATTTTGAATTTTTATTCAGGAATTCTAGTTTCCTTTATTCTGTGATCTATACTGAAAATATAAATAGATGTCCCAACTCAAGATATAAAACATTTTTGGTAGGTAAACCCATTCTTTTTCCCCATCCTTAACTGTTGGGAACAGACTGTAATAAAGGGAAAAATGCAGCCTATTTTCTTTTTGGAGAACAAAGATAGCTGTTGCTATTATATAACTCCAGGCGCACTGTGAGGATAAGCAGGTTTTCTGCAAGCCTTACTGAATGTCAGGATGCATCACCATATTGATTTTTACACGTGATGTTAATTTAGGCCTGGATTCAGTTCAGTCTGGGTCTTGAAATGCCTGGATAGATGCCTAGTAATTCTTGCTTCCCCTTATAGTCCATGGTGACAATGAGGAACCTGCAGAGGATAAGTAAAATGTTAGCTGAGCCAGATCACCTTCTGAAAATGAGGTGTCTCTGCCATCCCATTGTTTCTGTAGGGACCCTAAGATGAATGTGCTTTTAGGTGAAGTACCTTGCATATATGCCTGAAGGGCAAACCTGGGCACCTCTGTCACATGCAGTTCAATAGAAATATGTCCTCTAATAAGTGTTTGGTTGCCTGGTTATGGTTTTGTTCTTTATTGGTTAATCCACACAGATGTACAACTTTTTTGACTTTTGTGTTTTACCTTATGGTAAAGCACGTTGTCACAGGAATTTCCTTGTAAGTAGTTTGTCATGCCCTTTTCTTCTGCATAGGGGAACGATCAAGCATTTCACTGGTGGTACGAATAAAATCTCTTATGTCTGTAATAGGCACAGGGAATGTATGACTTGGGGAAAATGGTGAGCACGTGGGCTCTCTCATGCTGAAATGATGTCTGGCTGTCACATTGGCCTGAATGGTTATTTTTAATATTGTCCTATCAGTTGCAAAAGTGTCAGCATATTGCTTGAATGCAGAGTAAACACCACTTCAATACATGCACCTATGTTTTTGCACAAAGTTTAGCACAATTATCAAAGAGGCAAATTGGTCAAAAAGCCTTGTACACCTTAAACTACCAACAGCTGCATTAAACATGTTGCAAAATTACTTTTTGTAATGTGGAAGCAATTCTATTTGTACGTTAAAGAAGTGTTTTGTTGGATTGCTTTTCTTCAGCTGGATGGATGGCACTCCAGTGAATTATTTGGCATGGGCACCACATGAACCTAACTTTGCAAATAATGATGAAAACTGTGTAGTTATGTATAAGAATTTAGGTGAGTTTTGTATGTTTGTTCCTGAATCTCATTATTTGTGTGTTTGTGTCACAATTTTTGCAAATATTATAGAAGTAGACCACAGTATTATTTTCAGGACTTAATAATTTTGTGCTCTTGTGTTTACCTTAAGCCTCTCATGGGGAAGCCTAGCATGATAGAGGTCTGTGGTTTGATTACTGTACAACTGTTCTGTACTTTTTTAATTAAAATTGGCCTAATGTGCCACTAGAAAATAGATTTTTCTAGTATTTGGTTCTACTTTGCTTTTAACATTCTGTAATTACAGTGTGTATAAAGTGACATTTTTATGCTAGATGCTGATATAGAATGACAATAAACCAAGAAACTTTGAGGATTTGATCTTGTCTTTCAACTAAGAGCACTTTGTGTAAGAATGAGTGAAACTGATTTCCATTTAGCCAGCTCTGGATGTGGTGTCATACAGTTTCCCATTTATCTTACATTCAGGGTTTTGGAATGATATAAACTGTGGTTATCCAAATCCCTACATATGTGAAAGGCACAACAGTTCCATTAACTCAACTGTTCCTCCAACAACACTTTCAACTCCAAGAGGGTGTCATCCAACTTGGCTTTCCTTTCGTAATAAGGTACCGTAACAAATACAGTGCATGTTGGATGTTTGGCAAAGCATTAAATAGAAAACAAGGGAATTATTTAATAATACTGTTTCCTATTTGAGTAAAATATAATTATTTTTATTTTTTTGCAGAGAGCTGGTTGACACCTGCATGCTTTTCTTTGTTTGCCCATCCATTGTTTTGCAGGAAAAGTGCTTTCTTGATGCTTCTAATAAAGTTGAGCATATTCAGTTGCAGCTGATGAAAGTCATTCTTTAGTCATTTCTTCAAACTTTTGATAGGCGTTTCCTAAAGAGTTTAGACAGAGTTCCTGAAGTATTAATGCATTGATCTTCATGTTTTATAACCAAACGATAATGCTTTTTCAGTACTGAATACATTTTGTCTTCCTTAACTTTACTGATGTGGTATGCTTTGTAGAGTCAAATAAATAGAGGCAGACTAATTGTAGTCATGCACAACTAACTGCTCTTAGCTGACTGCCTATAAAAAGCCAGATTTTGCTGATTTTCTAGGGATTTTTTATCAAATCTAGTATGTGTCTTGTTAAGCAAAACACTTTCTTGAGACCTTTAATTTTATATAGAACAAGGATCAGCACAAAAAGCCCATTTTAAGCTGAATGTGATTTTTTTTTTTCAGATAAGTGCATTATTTTCCTGCCTTTTCTCCATTCTGCTCTGCTTAAAGCAGTGGTTTTCAATCTGTGAGGCATATTAGAGTAAAGATAATATATAGAGTATTTGTTCATGTTTTAGTGTTACAAAATATTTGGATCTACAGAAGATGAACGTGTCACTTGGCATGCTGCAAGAACAGCTTGCATGAATTTAGGAGGAAACCTGGCCACTATCGTTAATGAACAAGTGCAAGGTACTGTGTACAGTTTTGTAGCAATGAGATGAGATGACATTTAACCTTTACAGGATGGCTGTTGTATTTGTGCGAATATGGACAGGATTTGAATAATGATTGCACATCTGATTTTTTTTTCCAAACCATATAAATTTTAGGAATTTACAGTGAAGTCTTCACCTGAATCCACCAAATTTTAATGTTGGCTTAGATTTTATATATATAT